AGGCTTCCATGGATGTTTTCCCACCCACTCTTCTTCTTTCTCTCCCACCTGCTGCTTTGATTTTTTCTTTCCACTGCTTCTCGCCCCTTCACGATGCTTCTCTATGAGCGGTTTGGAGCGTTTTTCTCGATTATATTTGTCGACTAAAGCGGATTCAGAACTATTCTTCTTTGCTTCTTCGCTTGAAGCAAGTGCAGCGGCTTCGTTGTATGCTTCCAAATAACTGATCAATCAAACACGACGCTAGTTAGTATTTTGTCATGGACAAGATTTGGAACTAAATGTTCGAGTCTTCAAGGTAACAAATGCTCGCCTTGTCTTCGCTTTTTGAGCTCTGTCGGAAGGTGTATCTGTCCAAACACTAGTGTCGCCACGGCCTTCCTTGGAGCCCTTGCTAAATCTAGAAGATTGCATAGTCATGCCAGGCTGGAAGAGAAGGAAATAAAGTTTAAAACGCAACCTTGCTATTCATCAAGTTAGAGCATACCGCAGAACTAATGGTTTTGAGCTTACAAGACATCAAAACAACGATTTTGAACCTTCGAATGCTAATGTTAACAAAACAAGATATCAATCACTTAACTTTCATCTATTTTCCAAGATAAGAATCCTAATTGACAACTACTTTTTCCCCATTTTAATGAAAATTTAGTTGGAATACTTACTTAAATCAAATGGATCAGCTCAGCAGCCATTTTCAGAAATTTACAAGGTTTAATAAGAAATCACTATTTTCCTGAAGTATTACAAATATCACAAAATAGTTGCAAATTCAAAAGAGTTTGAACAACTTAATTAAAATGGTGAGACACAACTTGAGAAAAAGTGTAGACTATTTGAAACAGTAAAGCAGAAGAGAATTAACACCTACAGAGTAAAAAACACAAAAAAAGGAATGCCTTACCTTTCTTTCAGGAGGTAGGCTTGTCATCCATTCATCTCTTTTTGGTTCTACTTTAACTTCATCATCCATGTTCGCAAGGAGTTCATCATCACCCTCCATTGATATTCCTGCAGACATAGAAGTTTCACCAGCCAGATTAAATAAAGACATGCAGCCTCAAAAAAGAACAACTTCTAATTGCAATTTTTCATGTACAGCATCCACAGCAAAAGTCCATGAACTGAAAGCAAACACAACTCATCAACTAATCTACATGACTGTAATAGCCAGTCAATGTTAACTGTTGTGTGTTAAAGTACGTTAAATTGAAGTAGACATGTAAATAGCTGTTTAAAGTTTCCTATTTGAATCAAGCTTATTGAGATCTGTTATTAGATTTATGACTCGAACATGCTTGAATTAATTGAGATCGATTTATTAAAGCCTACTAGTTATTGGTAGCGTACTGAAGTGCTCCTAAACTGTGAGAGTTTTATGAGATTGAATGTATGTTTGATATATAGATCGATTGACTATTGACTTGATAAGGCCCACTAGTGCTTGTATGTATGTAAAAATTTGGGTATGATTGAATGAAGTATACATGTAAACTTTTAAAAGCATAATAGGTTTTAGTTATGCTTTTAGTTACGCAAATTATAGTACTCAGGCTATAATTCATGATTATAGACCCTATTATTAGGAGATTATAGGACCAGTTATTAGGTTACTATGTGAGATCTATTAGAGGTCAGCCAACCAATCTTTAGTGAACTTGTCTCGAGGAGAATGAGACTATATAGCATTGTGTGGCTGGCAAAGGCACGGGGCTACTCCCCATATGTTTATATTGATGGGGTACAATACGGGGACTATTAGAGGGTGTTGTTAACCTTTAATAGTAAAATGTCTTGATAGATAGAGTTTGTATTTATATGGGAAGAGTTGACCTAAGATATGCCCTAGATACATATGATATGTAGGGCCACCAGATTCTTATGTGGGGATTATTGAGGATCTCCAACTATCCTCTGCCAATAAAAATGTTTAGAGGAGCAAAAGTCCACATAATATCGAGATAGTTGACTGGCTGAGTTGTGCCCCACATAGTTATTACATATGAGAACTGCCAAAAAGTCGTTAGTGACAAGTTGTGTGATGTGCCAGAGGTGATATATAGCGTTGGAATATACTATTCCAAAAGTTCACGCCTCACCTATTTGCAACTTGAATCGATAGCAGGGAAGTAGTAAGAGCATAGCTAAAACATGTGAACTCTAATGAATCCAACCACGGAGACATGCTCAAAAGAGCTGGATCACATGGCAATAATGGTCTAAGCTCGATGGAGCAAGATAGCATAAGCCAATCATTGAGAGCTCAAAGGTTGATGAAAAACCAATCGTTGAGTAGATCATGAAACATCGATAATTGAGATATAACTCGGAAGAGCTACACTATATACCCATCATTGAGACAAGTCAAATGACATCAATGATTGAGATAGGCTCAAAGGAGCTAAAGGATGTAAATCCAACTATGAAAACCTTACTATGAACCCACGGGAGCTGAGTAGAACCTGATGTAAGACTCATTTAGTATTGATTGGCTCAGGAGTTGAGTGAGTCTTATTGATGGTATTCTTGTGATGGTAAACTATGATTGAGAGTCAGTTATCACATCGGGAGGCATATAAGTTGGACACTGTACTAATTCTTAGTGAGATGGTGCCTAATTATAAGTGTGCTACTCTTTTTTTAGAAGGTACGAATGGTGTAACGTGCATACTGGAGTTGAAGGGCGATAAGGCTATGTGGCTTAGAACTCTAAATTGTATTTTCATACTGTAAGCTTCTGAAATGTACATCAGAGGGTATAGAGAGTTGCATATATAAACTGAATTGGTTTTGTTTCTTGTGCTTTAATTGCAGCCCTATTGATAAGGGTTGAAAAATGCGGGATGTAACAATGACAGTATCTTACTAATGAATAGCTGCAAAATTGGTACTATTATATTGAACATTTATTCATTAGATGTGATATTCATTTATAGCAATTGGTAAAATTTTCAAATACTAAAAATTAATTAAAATTTCTAGGGTGGTGATGGGGCTACGGTCAATTCCATTCCCATCCCCACAAAGAAACTTGCAATCTCTATTTCCCTTGTACCTTTTTCAAGTAGCCCAATACCCCTCCCTCTCCTTTCATGCACATGAATAGCAAATAAAAGAAGATAACCTAGATAGAAACTAATGCACCAATTGCATTATTTCATCACTCCTCTTTACAGACTCTGTTATATATGTATGCTGAGCTTTCATTAACACAAATGAAAGAATATACAAAGGGCATACAAAAAAACAAGCTCACTCTTTACAGATTCTTAGTGACAACTGCAATTAAGATGGTTTAGTTTTATACCTATAGCATGAATAGAAACTCATGTTCCCACATTAAAACAATCTAATAGCCTAAAACTAGGAGAAGAGAAGGATAAGAACAAAGAAGAACCCAACTTGCAAGAAAAAATTGGCCACATGAATAGACAGATGATCTAACCTTGTGATTTTCTCCATTTTGCAGCCTCACGCATACCTCTTAACTCAACCTATAAAAGTAGAAAATATTAAATTCAAACTTGACCATTTCTTCCCTACCCGTACATAGAACTTGAATCAAAATAAATACTTTAAATTGCTCCTGTTCCTCCTTGAATTTAATTTTGTCATCCAGTGCCTTCCGCTGCAAAGTAAAACAATATATATCAGAAGCTGGTCGACTTTTCAAGTCAAGCAGATGCAACTACCAATGTGATCAGGTGAGAATATAAACTTGAAAATAATTAGCCATCTGGCTGCATCAGCTAATGAAACATTTTTCATTGTTATATTTGGTGGCCCTTCATTATTCAATTGTGCATTTAGGGGATATTTGTTTTTTTTTTTTTTTTTAACGAGAAACAATTTTTCATTGATATACTGAAAAGGATTAAAAGTTTAAGGGATACAAACTCCCAAAGAGAGGGAAAAAAAAAAGAAAAAAAAAACAGATGCACAACCATATAGCAACCATGAACAAGAACTTTAAATAAACCTAACAAAACAAACACACTGCTTATACAAAAAATGACTATAATTAACTTTTGCTACCATTTTCAGAAACTTGAGAAAACTGGGGAAAGTCTTCCAAATTTGCTTCCAAATCTTCTGGTATAGTTTTTATTTTATACTACTTAGATATGGCGGAGTAAGCATCATTAGCTCTTGTACGTATTGGAGAAAAATCTCTAACTTCTTTGGAAAATATTTTACTTTGTAAATAACCAGTTCATGACAAATCGATTCAAGCTCTCCATAAAAGCGGAATTTGACTACCTAAAGGAAGCTTCAATAAGAAAGACAAAGAAATGCACCGAAAGACTATTTGAGGAGAAACAACACCGTTCCTAAAAGACTAAATAGGTGGACGAATGACCATTAAACTTTCATGGAATTAGTGCAAAAACAACTGCTTTGAATCAAGATAACTGAAACATTACTTGGAATCACCTAACTCTAATCATCTCTGAAGTCACCAAAGTCACCAAAGGTCTATACACCTTAGCCACTCATATTATATTGGCCAACAGTTAAAGTTTTTAGATAACGGGGTTCTATGGCCCTTGTAGATATTAAGAAAGACCTCCCTTCGGGCAGGAATTACGCTGCTTTTTTTTTTTTTTTTTTTTTATAAG